AAAAAGTAGTCGTTTGCATGCACTGGTAGGGTTTAGGGTTTAGGGTCCGGCGTCCTCAGTATCGGACCCTCTTGCTGAACAGTCATCATCAACAGGGCTACATGTTAGTTAATAGTTAAGGGTTTACATAGAGCTTCGGGGGCACGGAACAACCGGTCGTGTCCAGAACCCTCCATCCATAAGTCTGAACGCAGGAAACCCTAAATCCTAAGTCCAATAACCCCAACGGCCCTCAAGACACGGCCCTAGAAAACAACGCTGCAAGCCCTAAGCGCCCTACGAATCAGAGTCTACACGCTCCAAACCCAAGAACCTCAAGGCCAAAACCTTGAACCCGATGCCTTGCTCGAGATGAAAGGTAAATTTTGAATTCAGGGATTTGGGTGAATGTGTAGGCAGTGCACCCTAGGAAACCTGGTGAGCGTACATTTGGGGTGTTCTTGTGGGGATGCTCTTTCTAGGAACAAGCACAGAACTCGGAGACGGGTGGGGGGTGGGGTAATGCAGGAATCCTCTGTACACGAAACATCCTTCAGATGAGAGGATCTGATATGGCAGCTTCAGACAGGGCAGCTATGTGAAGTACCCATAGGCCCCATGGCAGTTCCTTTTTTGGGGATTCATATTTAGAATCCTATCAGGTAATCCCAAAAAGGAACTACTATGGGGCCGATGTGAAGTAGAGCTTACGAAGCTTCAGGCTTCTGGCCTCGAGTTTGTAGTCTGGGTCAGCTCTCTTAAGTGGAGGCGACTTTGTGGGTTCAGGGTTTAGGGTTTAGGTTTTAGGGTTTCGGGTTTAGGGGACGGTTTAGGGTTTAGGGTTTAGGGTTCAGGGTTTAGGTTTAGGGTTTGTTATCCAGGTGATAGGCTTCACGCCAGCATCCTGCTCAAACCAGCCCAAAAGCGTTATATAGTACATCATGCTTTTTTCGGCCCAAAAGCCTTGTAATATGAGTCCGTGGAGCCTTAGGGTTATCGCTTTTCTACATCGAAACTTGTTGTGCACAGAGGTTGCCGCGAAAATCTTCGTCGGTTCGACCGGAAAGAAGATATGGGAGTTTCCGAAAATTAAGGTATCCTATTTGGGGGTCCTTATAATAAGGATCCTACTATTTAGGGTACTATATTAGGGTCCCCTATTTCCGGAAACCCCCATAGCGTATCTGAAACAGCTGGATGCGAGGAGAGCAATTTGCCTTCTGAAGTGGGCAGGCTGCACGATTTGTTTGCTAAGAGAGGAACCTGATTAAGAAATCAGCTTCCCGCATCAGCGAACCTTCTGAAGCGGAACGGTTTAGGGTTTCGGATTTAGGGACACACCCGAAATTGAAAGCAACAATGCCAGATGCCTCAGGGGTGCAGTTGCCAAGCAGCTGTGTTTGGAATACCGGCATTGTCCTGGAGTTGGTTGGCCACGAGGGTTGTTGAGGTAAACTATGATATATCAAAGGATATTTTGGCATGTTATAGGAAAATATTGTATATGATCGTGTATGATATAGTATAGACAATATATTACAGTTTAGGGTATGTATTCTTCAGTATTTGGTTCCTCCCTGCAAACTTGTCGGACTCAGAACTTCCCTCCACTTGAACCCAAACTGCCAAAAATCAACCCTGCACCTTGAAGCCATCCCAACTCTAGCTCGTTGAGCATAGGACCGGCACAACACAAGCCGGTCTGACTGTACCTCCGCTCCAAGCCCCGAAACCCTAAATCCAGACCTGAGATAGTTCATACCCCGATACCCAGAACCAGAAACCTAAACGCAAACGGCCAAACCTGACACAAAAAACCTAAGTCATAAGCCTCAGCACCCGACACCTCAGTCCTAAACCCGGCCCCTAAACCCTAAACCCCAAACATCCAAACATCCCTAAACCCTAAAGGCCCTGAACCACCGAGCCAACCCCAGAGACACCACACCCGGTCCGAGGCATTGCAGACAAGCTCGGCGGTCCTGACCTCGAATGTAACCCTAAGGGTCCAAGTACCTAATAATCATATACTCTCCCAAATATGAACCTAGATAACTACTATCCGCAACCNNTTGGACCCTTAGGGTAAGGGAGAAGCTCCAGACTGTGCTGTAGAATGTAAGGTTTCGATGTCCCGGTGTCATTGAAATGAAGTGCCGCAGCGTGTATACGGGAAGAGCTCAAAAAAGGAATACATCGGTGCGGTGCGACACAAAAAACACAGGAGCAAGCGAATAAAACTTATCAAGTGGCTACTTCTGCTCACATTGCTCGGCATTACTCATTACAGTTGCGGAACTGTGCACGCGTCGTCATCACGGGAATCACTTCTGACCGTTTACGAATGACCCTCCCCTAGAGCCAGCTGAAGGCAAATCCAATTCCCTGAGCCCACACCAAAAAGCCGAAAACCCTAAACCTTAACTATCCCCCCTAAACCCTAAACCCT